TAACTGGTCTTTGCTAACTGATATTTCTAATGGGAAATTTTCTGGTTGTGTTAGGGATTCCCTTTTTATTAATCATCAACACTTGTGGTCTGGTCCTCTGGTGAAGGAGGCTGGCCAAGAGGAGAAATTCTGYATAGGCTTGTGTCCACGAAATGAACCCTCTGCATCTATTTGGGGCAGTCTGGCAGGGCTGCTTGCTGTGTGCAGGTGTGTTCACGTGTCAGAGGCTGAGCAGTGTCTATCAAGGCTAACCTCAGAGGAATGTTATAGCTGTGTTGTACCATGTTTCAGTGTCAGTGATACTGTGCAGGAGCAAAAACAAAAATCGGAGATGAGGTGAAATGGTGATATGCCATAGGTTTAAGCTGTATAGGGAGAGTTGAGGAAAAATCCTCTATTAGCAGCTGGGTAAGGCTCTGACTGCAAAGAGGGCTTGGGTCAATAGAAGCTGTGTGGTCTAACCAGAAGATTGTATTTCATAATTAAAGAGCACACAATTTTTTGCTCTGAAAATAGACAAGCAGATGTCTGTATGCTGCTGCTGGCTCCAGGAGGACTGCATTTTAAAAAGTGCCTGGCTTTGTTTTCTTCTGTTAGCTTGCCATGGCCTAGCGCTTTTTTAATTTCTAGCTGACAACATAATCTGGCTGTTGTGCATGGTTCCCTTCTGTGCAAGCCCWGTGTAGGCTAAGTGGAAGGCTGCCCATGGGGGTGCAGCTTTTATTCCCCAAAAGGGCTTTGTCAGGACTGAGCACCTTTCAGCAATACATTAATGGCTTGTGGTTATGAGCCCTGTCAGGACCCCTTTAATTTGAAATTATTTATTTTCCAAGCTGACATGTTTTATACCACAGTGCACCACTTGCTTCGGTGAGTGCTGCTACTGCATATCACTCCTGAGTCTTTGGGAGCTGCCTGGGAAGTTCAGGGCTGTTCCTGAACTTAGATCCAGGGAGATCAGGGAGGCAGATGAGCTGGTGAGAGGAGGTCACATGTTCAGAACAGAGGGTGGATAGCTGTGCAAAGGAAGCTCCTGGTCATGAGGAGGGGGCTGAGTGGGCAGAGAAGGACTTCTGGATGTGCTGCTGGGTGTAAGGAAGGGATTTACTGTTGTGATTGTAGCTGGTTACTTGTTGGGGGCTGAGCTGTCGAGGAGGGATGAAGAGATTTGCAGAAAGGGTTGATGCTGTGTGTGTGGACAGCGTGTGACAGATGCGTTGTGACAATGGGATTCCCCTTAGCTTCAGTCTCTGTGGCTGCTTAATCATGTTTCTTAAGGAGTACTTGTTTTATATTTTCATGTAGGGGAAGGGTCTGCAGCACTGAAGACATTCAGTTGAGTTTCCTGGTGGAAAGCACTGAGAGGGAACCAAATTGAGCAGTGTTACTGTGGCAGTGGAGGCTGGGGCACAGGTCCCTCATTTCTCAAGGTGTCAGAATTTCCTCGTTTTCAAAAAGGTGTCTCACTGGGCTGTCTCTTGACTATATTGAAAAAGATCCTCACTTCTTTATTGGGTAGTCTCCATCAAGCACCAGTGATCTGGATGACAGGCAGAAAGTTGACATCCTACTTCCCTCCAACCTCCCTCAGAGATTTTTGTCCTCATTCCTGGTACATTTCCTTTTATTCTACCCCAGGGCTAAACCTCTCTCAACTCAAACACAAGTTGGTGATGAAAGAAAAATAACCTAGTTTTCAGYCATTCATTTGAATTTTGAGAGAAAYAGCCTCTGTCAAAAMYAATAAAGTTTATGTGCAATGTAAGGGGGCTGGATGGAGGTGTGAGCTTCTGCTGTTCTCTGTGGTTTTAAAAGCACATGAAGAACATGGCTACTCTTTTCTGTCTGTGACCTGTGGGCTTGGGACTGAGAGCAGCCTGTTGGTGATGGTGCACAGGTTGAGCATGCTGGAGGGAGTTTTAAATGAAGGCTAATTATTGAGTAACTGTGCTACCACGCAAAAASTTTTTCACATTGGCAAAGCCACAAACCTGTTGATGTTTTTCTAATGACGAATGTATTATCCTTTACTTTAGCATTTGGCATTTTTCTTTCTCAGGCTTTCAGTAAGTKGCTTAAAATGAAAGACTGCAGACTGACTTCTGCTCACTGTTGAAGCTAAATTGCTATTTGGACTAACTGTGTTGCTTAAAAATAAAGCAGTGTTTCCAAATTGCTGTTGCAGAGCAGTAWTCAACAAATGCAGCTGGGAGGGAGTATTTAAATATGGTTTTGTTTAAGTTTTCCCTTTGCCCACACAGTTACAGGGCATGAAGCTGAATGGATTATGGACCTGCCTGTTACCAGCTCCAGCTCTTGATGTCCTACAGGCCCAGGTGCAAGCAGAAATCTCAATGAAATGTAAATTTGGTTCCTGTTTTTTTTATCAAAAAGACAGTTTTCCTGTTTTGGAGTCAATTGTCTGCTAAGGCCTTCATCAGAAGGGCTACTAGTGTACTCCAAGCTCCCACTAAATATTTTTTTCCATGGGGATTAAGGATCTCAGYTCCTAATGCTCTGCAGGCTTTTTGCTGGCTTAGATGTCGTGATCCCTGACTTGAGTGTCTGTGCCAACAGAAACTTTCAAGTGCTGATGCAGTTACGGTGAGAAAATTGTACTTCTGCACTCACATTGCCCCTGGGAGCTGGTTTTACTGGAGTTTCGAAAGCAGTTCCTTGCTGSTGAGGTTCTGGCTGTGCTGGGAACGGGTCTCCAGTCTGTTTTTTGTGTGTTTTTAAGTTGTGTCTTGCATGGGCAGGCCGGCTCGTGCAGCAGAGCAGCTGAGGAGCTGAAGYTGCCTTCACAACCTTGTTGCTGGAAGTTACTGGCACCTGATTCCCTCTCACAGAGTCTTCCATGAAAATTGATCTTGCTCTTCCTCCAAACATCCTCAGCACTGCCCTGCAGCATTTGGTGCAGGCTCTTATTGGAGTCTTGCATTTTATTTCACTTCTTAAAAYTCCACCTCAAACTATTTTTATGGGTAACTTTTGGCCTTTATTTGTATATAATTCCTTTACTAGCATAGGTCAAACTTACTGAAGGGGGAAAAAAGTTGTGAATTTGTTTAACGTTTAGTAGATATTTTGGCGACTAAGATTCAGGTTTTTTCAGTTTTCTTTGTTGGAAGCCCAGGTTGAACCTTGTTTAAAGACCCTCAGATGGCTTTCTTGTGCTTGCTGGGTATCATGGCTTAGGTTAGTTTGTGGCTAAATAAAAATACTCTWTAGTCAGGCTTATTCTGAATTTACAACATGTATTAATGCGTTTGAATTAGGCAGCTGGTGACTGGGGTGATGAGATGTCATGTGTGGGGGTTTTTCTTAGAGAGGAAAAGGGATCATATTGGCATTGAACTTAGATCAGGATGCTGTGCATCCACTAACCTTGGCCCAAAGATTTGTGCCGCCTGCGAATGTGCAGTTCTGCATGGAAATTAACACTTTAGTGCTCTGGCTCTTCACAAAGRCAGTAGACAGGGTGATGTGGTGTAAGCTGCTTGAAAGCAACAAAGGGCATGGCTAGATGAGCTTCTCTGTGGAAAACATCACCAGCCACTTGAGAAGGAAAYGCATCAGGGACCTTGGCTGGAAGGAAATTGCTGCTCTGATTGTGATGACTTTGATTTCCCTCTCTAGCTGGTAACTCAAGGACCTCTGAGACATAACTCCTATTTTTGCATGGTCACCTTGGGGTGAAGTACCTCTGTCTGAGAGAGGGAAGGAAGTAAGAAGAGCTTGTTGCTATTTCAGGGCATGGTGAGGGAAACTCAGTGTGCTTTATTTCCTTTTGTGACTTATGTTTAAGTTAGGAGTCCATCTCCCCTGCCACAGGGCAGGGAGGGAAGGGTTTTTTCCATTACCTTTTCCAGTAACTGTGGTGTTTCAAGTGTGAAGGTATTTGGTACATCTGGTGTTGAAGAGGTATAGCCAGCTGTTTGCTGGAGAAATGTGTCATTGTTCCACTTTCTTTGTATCGGGGATTTTTAGCCACTTTCTAAATGACCACGATTTCTTCAGATTAAAACCTCTTCCTTTATTTATAAGACTTTATCTTCCTCAATTTAGTATTCTGTATGTCAGAGTTCATTCCTCTGTTTCATTCTCAGACTCCTTACATATCTGTCATGATATGTAAAGTTTTATTCATTATTTTGTTCTGTCAGTCATGTCTGGTCAAAGACATTTCTCATAAGTATAGACTGGGTAATTCCAGTTTATTTTTGAAATACCATGGAAGTGTAAATGAAAACTGTTTTCACAGTGCTGAATGCTCAGTTAATGGAATATGAGATTTACATTGGAAGGGGTGTATTTTCTGAGCAAAACAGCTCCAAAATACTCCTTTAATAGCAAATTATGAAATGTGTAATCTGGAAAAATTCAGGTATTGATTTTAAAAAAAATTCTCTTGGTTATTCTTGTGTCTGTGTACTGGGGACTTCCTGCATCAGTTGTGTACCAGGGGTAGCAAGGTAAAAGAATGTCCAAAGAATGAGTGGCCTCCATCTCAGAGAACTTGTTTGTGCTTTATAGCAAGGTAATAATTCCAGAACATTTCCTTGGCGTGATTAATGGTGTATCAGATAAAAATCCACCCTGACTAAAATCAGGGAGTGCCATTCTCAATGTATTCTTGACATGCCAGAAGTTAGCTATTGCATTTTGTTTTGGTCTGTTTCTCAGTGATTAAACCTACGTCAKTATCTCTCAGCCAGGTGCTTATTTGTAGGTCGGCAGCTGAGGTTTTGTTTTTTTTGACCATGAACACCATGAGTTGCTTCTTGGCAAATGACCTCTTTGGGTGGGAACTGCTGTCTTAACAGGACTTACTCCACTGAGAAACATGTGTCACTTCAAGTAAAATCTTGGGAAAGAGTGACGCTGGCGTGGTGCTTTTGAAATCTTGGGATTACTGTCATAGATCTTTTAAATGTGATTGTGAGGGTTCCTTTGTCTCTGAACCCAGCTTCTTTTTTTTTTTTTTTTTCTTCCTTCAGGCACAGCTGGAGGCTCAGAGGGCGACTCAGGACTTTCAGAGGGCCACTGAAGTGCTGCGTGCTGCCAAAGAGACCATTTCTCTGGCTGAGCAGAGGCTACTGGAAGATGACAAGCGCCAGTTTGACTCTGCCTGGCAGGAGATGCTCAACCACGCTACTCAGAGGGTAATAYAAACGTGCCCCAGTATCTGCCTTTTCCATACTTTGTGTTTTCCTGTGGTGTATGAGGCTCAGGTTCTGAAAGACCAAGTTTTTCTTTTGGTCCAGATCCACGGCCTGTAGGAAATGAAGCTGTGAAAAATTAAGAAGCGTAAGGTTAAATGGTCTGGGGCTTGGGTTGCTTCTGGGACAACTTTAGTTCTCTGTCTGGTGGTGCTATGGTAGTGGAGTAGCTCTGTACAGAAAATTAAAAAAGCGATTACCATCTATGTTACAGGGATAAACAATGTCTTMAGGCATGTCTGCATCTGGAGTTGTGCCAGAGTAATTGCATGGGGATGCCTATTCCTGAATACATGTGTTATGGGAACACTTACCCTGGAAACACAGGGACAAGTTCCAATTTTAGTATAACCTGTTCTTGGTATGGAATAAGTTGAACATGGCACTTAGCTTCAGAAATGCATGTTTGAATGTAGAATTAGTCAAAATTGTGTGTTGCATTTTAAGCTTGCATGCTGCTTTTTTCTGATTTAACTGGGATTTAGACAAGGTCCTACCTCCTTTGTAAAGTCTTTTTAAACCTACAGAAGAGATATATCATCTAAAAAACAAAGATTCTTTCTAGCAGATGTCAAGAAGAATTTTCCTGTCATTTATCATGTCTCTTTTTTTCCTGTTAAAAAAAAAGGCAAAAAGGTTTTTTTGACATAAAAGAACCAAAAATCGAAGTTAAAAACCTTTGTTCTGTCATTTCCTTAATATGCCAGTGAAACTGAACTTGGTATTCCAAACATGCTAGCATGCCATACAATGCTTGTATTGTCTTATAGTCCTCAATGTAACAGCCCCGTTCTGTTGCAGAAGCTTCTCAGTTAAAAGAAAAGCCTGTGTTTCAGAGTGAATTTCAAAATCCAGCTGCCTGATGAAGAAACAGGGAACAGAAAAGCTGTGTGTAGGGGAGAGATAGAAAACGTGGTATATATTAAAGAGAAAATGAACTGCAGGGTACTGTTTGTGTTATTGTCCCTGTTGTCATTTGGTATTTCCAGATCTGGTGACCTCTGTGTTTACAAGGGGTGCCCCACCTTTGCAGTCTGTGTGTGCCAGCTGTCATTTTCCCTAGCTGTAATCCCTGCTCAGTATGAACAAAGTCCAATACATAATTTTTGATTCTCAGAATTGGTAGATGAGTGAACCAGAAGCATTTAAGGAGTTGCTTAGAGCACCTGGCTGCTAAACTGAATTTTGGTGGACAGTGACAGCAATCACATCTGCCACCTGCCTCTCTAGCAGGCTTTACAAAAATTTGTGTTGTGGTGTGTAAAGAAAGGAACAATGGCAATTTGAGAGTGCAAATGAATTCTTCTCTTCTTTTGCTATTTCAAAGGCATCCTCGTGTCCTTCTACAACCCTTGATCATTCCCTGGCAGTCTGTGCAAGGTGTACACCTGAGATGAGCAAACGCAGTGATTCAGAGCAGCAGATGGCTGCTGGCAGTGCTTGCTGGAGTCATGCTGGTGGTGTTGATAGGTACCCTCACTGACTGCAGGATACCTGCTTGTTGGGGGACTGATTCAAGCCACAGTGCCTCTGATTTGTTACAGCTGAACAGTAAATAGGGAACCTCGGTGTACTCACTGCAGCTGTAAAATCTCTTAGGCACTTACTAAGCTAGTAGCAGCTTAGTGCTCCTTGAATGGAAAACCAGTTATCCAATAATTCCTGGTGCTTAAAATAGTCTGGGCAGGCTCAGTTCCCAGAAAGCACCTATCTGCACCTTTCCAGGTTGCAAAAGGTTTTGGAAGAATTATGTGGRAGTTTGTCCTGTGATTTTCATTGTCTTGTGATTTTTATTTTCATGTCATGGTGGAGTTCTCAAAGCTAAGGCCAGAGCCAAGAAGAGTGAAAATGCTTTCAGAAGCCCTGACTAAACAGGCCCAGCATTAGTTTGTTTGGACTGCTTGACTGGGTTTTGCATCTTCCCTAAGAGTAGAGTGAAAATTTTACTTGGCTTTGGTGAATTTATTATTGCATTATTTATCATGCAATTAATGAAATGGTTCGTGTTGAGTGAGGCAAACAGAATAACTGGGATCTTGGGGAGCAGAAAATGTTGACATTCCCTACCGAGCTATGGATGAAAACAGGTTAGAGGATGAGATGATCTGGAACAGAAGTTCTCCTTGACTGCTACAGTGTTGCTGACAACTCAGATCATTAACTGTTAATTACATTAGAAATCACTAATGGAAAGAACTCTTTCTTAGGGTAAGGGCTAAGGAATAAGAAATGGACGTTTACTTGCACATGTAAAATGGCTTTTAGAGAAAGCTTTTGCACTCTAGTTATTTGKATTTTACAGCTTTTTTTTGCGTGTACTTATACATGACAGTTGTGCTGGGCAGAGAATAATCTTGCACTGGGCCTTGTACAGCAAGGACTCAAGTGCAGAAAAGCATCTCTRAGCCAAATGTTAGAAGTGGGCTACTAATTCATTTGTTTCTCCACTGATGTACATGTCAGGCAAGAGTAAAGTGTTTTTATTTGCTGTTTTAAGGCACTGGCAGCAGGCTTTACTGAATTAATCTGAAACTTGGAACCAAACCTGAGCCCTGTAGCAGCTCGGTAGCTGACAAACACGGTAAACAGAAAGCATAAAGAAAAAGGGTAGGCAAGAGAACAAACAAGAAACTGATTTCTTATACAGCTATGTGTGGAAATACTGCTAGGTTACTTTTGCACTTGACCTAATGGATGTAGACAAAGACTTGGGTTTCAGAGTACCAAACAGGAAATGCTGTTTCCAGACACTCATTGGGAGGAAACAGAGATAAGGGTTGTATTTTGTAATTGCTTTTTGATGTCTTGATAGTCTGAAAAGCTCTTAACACTATTTTAATGTGACAATCTATTGGGCTTCTGTAAACAAGACTTTTGTAGGCCATTGGTGTAGAAAATCATATAGTTTAACTGTATCAGTGAAATGGGAGAGTTACTGAAGTTTTGTTTCTCCTGGGTGAGCTGGAAGCATAATGTATGGAAAGTGTTTGTATCCATGGAGCAGGCAGAGCCAGCATGAACAAGTACTGGGAGTATAGGCTGTCACTCAGAAGTTTTTTTTCACCTTGCAGTTTGAGCTATGTTTCCAARGGAAGCTGGGAGCATAAATAGGAGCTGGCTTCCTGCCTACCTGTCCRTGAAGATGCAACTAATCCCTTCAAATGTCTGTGCTTGAACTGTGTGTTCACAGCAGCAAAGCACCTGACTGTGATGCAATCCTGCAAGTCAGGCAGCTGCTTTGCCCATTTCTACTCTCAACTTGGCACGTATTTTGGGGTAAAGTCCTGTGTTTTTTTTCTAGATGTCCATTTTTCCACCGATCTGAGAAGTGTGATGACACTTAGATTGAAATTTAGCTCATCAGTGTCATGTGCCTAGAACCTGACTTTGTATCACAATTACTCACTGAAAGTCCCATTATAATGAAAGGAGATGTGATCAATAAGTGGTGTCTGGAGAGCAATTCATGTGGCCAGAGGGGCATGTTCATTGTAAGATAAATTCTCTGTTGATTGTAATGGAAATGTAGAAATGATCAGCTCTTAATTTGTGTGGGGAAGAAGGGGGAAGAAGAGTGGTGTTCACTCTCAGCCATTGGCTTACCAGGATTTTTGTCACTGCAGTGTGCCTTTAAAGTTTGGAGATGTTTTTTACTCATGGGAGCCTGTTGGAACCTTGAATTGTAATGCTGCAGTTTGGGGTGCAGAGAGCAGGGCTATGGAAGGAGCTCCTGTGAAAGGACCGAAGAATATTGAATTTTGAAGGGAGGAAAGATCTTCACATTTATGCTTCTATTGATAATAATTCATAAAGATGTACAAAAGGAAAGTACTGACAGATGTTACATCTAGTTTGAGACAAGCTGGAGCAGAAAGAAAGATCCTTCGTGAATTTGAAGAGAAATTGCTAATTTCTAATTGCTGATGCAATCTGCAGTCTTAAAAMGGTTCTGCTTTTACAGTCTTCTCTGAGATATGTTCAGTTCATAAATTCTGGCAGGGAGAAGAAATGTTTTGGCTCTTGATCATGAGACATTTTAAAAAGGAAAGGATGAGGGGAGAGTAAAGAGGAAGGAGGCATGCTCCCTCTTGGATTAATTTGGCTTGTGAAGCTCCCTTTGATATTATACCGTGAAGTACCATCTGTCAGTGTAAAATGTGTGGGTGCTTTCGTGATGTAGAGAGGAGAGATACTTCCTGCAGCTAGAAAAACTTAAGAGAAAAAAGGGGGAGAAGAAAAGTCTGTGAAAGAAACAACAAAAATACCACATCCTTCCTTTTCCTAATCGCTCTGTCACTTTGTCCTGAAAATGCAGTGATTTTTTTGTAATCCCTTGCATTGTTGATTCTCACCTGGTTTACTGATATTGCATTGTCTCTTTCCTCTTCTAATTCTTCCTCTAGCGCAACAATCAATTTATTCTTTTGTGAAAAAAACAGTCCTCCAGAGTAATTCTCTGACTTAGATGGTCGGAGTGATAAAATTTTTCTTTTGCATATGTTATTACTGAAATTTTGCCTGGAGTCCATTTTTTACTTCAGGTTATGGAAATACTTTGGGTGGAACAAAGCTACTTCTATGAACTTATTGACAGTGAGTATGAACTCTACACTGACCTTCCTTTTCCAGACAAGTGGGTAGGAAATAGAGAGTAAGAAAGAAGAGGAATGATGAATCCCTGTGATGGGAATTTTTCCTTGCTTTGGTTTTTGTTACTTGTATCTTACCTGTGCTACCTGGGAGAGTGGCTTCTGCCTGGAGTAGGTGATCCAATAGTTAGAGACAGGCAAGGAAGGGCTGCAGGAATGTCAAGTGACTGTGTGGGTATCCCATGAATGCATCTGTTCTGGGTGTTTTTGTCTTAAGTGTGTGTTGCCCTGCTCACCCYAAGGGTGAGCTGAATGGCAGGGACAATGTAAGGAGGTGAGATGTGTCCTGAGCAGCCTTCATTTGAAGAGATGTTATCCTCATTTCTTTTTCTTACTTTTTCTAAGTGATGCTGTTGCATCTGTGATGACTTAGGAATATCTGCAAGGTGGGTGGTAKAAACACTTGTGTTACACAAAACAGCTTATTTGGTAACGGTGACAAAGAGCTTGTTTACAAGTCCATATCACACTGCATTTTTTTTCATCCAATGTATGATTAGCTCTAATAAAAAGTACTTCTTTCCTACACAAGCCTATCTGTCTTTTTCTAAGCCTTCTTAAGGAGGTGAGGAGCTTCTCTAGCTGGTGTTACATTGAACTTCCCAGCTGTGGAGGTGGCAGCATTGTTTGTAGTTTGTTTCTGTCCACCAGTCCTGATGGACAGCTTCTCCATATAAAGGCTTTTGTGGATGATCTCTCTGTTTTTTTCCTGTTTGAATGAAGTGCTTAAATGCATCTTGGCAGGTGATGAGTTGCTGCAGAGGTATTGTACAATCTCCCAGGTMTTATCCTCAGCCTCGGGGTGTTCACCTTGAGCTGCTGTCCCAGGGGAAGGGGACAGGCTGTCTCTGCAGACTTGTGGATAATGTGAGCATGGTGACACCATGCCCATAGCAAAACAAGGGCGTGAGGGGAGAGAGAGATTTTCTYACATCACTGATTTCTCAAAAGGATGAAGTATATAGCCCTTTTTTCCCTTTCTTTATGGAAAAGGTAATGCACATGGGTATATATGTGGCTGGCAGCAAATTCTGTGTTTTGTCAAATACTTTGAGGTGTTTGCAATCTGTCATCCTCAAATCCTAGTTCTGCGGAATTCAGCATTTCCTTGATGTTTGATATGAAAGATTTGAAAAATCAACATGATACTGGACACCTAGCCTGCTTTACCACCCTGGTGTTGGTGGTACTTATCATGTGATTTATTCCAGATATCAAAGCTTATGCTAATTTTGCCCCAAGAATGGATGTGAGGGACTGACATGTAACTGAGCAAATTCCAGTCTCTCCATTATTTTGTAGCTTACGGCGTTTTTAAATTRCAGTTTCCTTGCCACACTAGAAAGAAGATGAACCACCTTCTGTGCAGTCTTTGGAGACTGCATTTTAATTTAAGATACTGCCACGTTAAAACTAGCCTTGTCTGACATGTTTCACTAACGAAAGTCGTTGCACCAACTGGCTTTAAAACAGTTGTTTGAGATAAGAGGCTGCAGTTTATTTTTCAGGATGCAGGAGAGAGTGTGTTATGAGCCTGATAGATTTTATTTTTTTCTTTTTCCCTTTCTTTGAAAGTGGATGCTTTGTATATATAAAGAAGTTGAAGAGTGTTGGAGTTGAGTGTATTATTTTATATCTGATCAAAAGATCCTTTGATAATCTTTATTTCTCACAGTTTAAAGTTCTGTAGCAATTCCTTTCTTTAATAATGAGTGGTATGTGCAGACGAGCAAAAAGTGGCCTCCAGTTGTGGCAGCAAGAGCTACGAGTTGATGCTGATGCAGCGTTCAGTTTTGGGAGTTTCACAATTCAATTTAGCAATCAGAAAGGACAACATGACAATTTTCCTGAGAGGAGCAGCACTCCAAGCGAGTCAGAGTTGACCATCTCTTTTCCCAGTACAGTTCAGCCTGAGGGCTAGGAGGACTAGCACACTTTAAAAAAAATTAGAGTTTTGTGGGTGAAGTTATTTCAAATCAAGATATCTTGAATAGTCTCTTTCTCTCTGCATCTGAGAGCTCAGATGCACAGTGTGGTGGTGGGAGCCAGTTGGTGCAAATCTGCTTGAACTTGTGGAGTGGTTGGAATCACAGCTGAGACATTTCAAAATGCAATACTGGAGAAAATCAAGTCTTGCCATTTTTTGTRTGGATACCTTTATGGCTGCAGAAAAGGAAGCTTAAAAAAGTGCCTGCTTTCCCCTCAGAGATATCACCACTTTTCTTCCTTTAAACAAATCAGTGGTCTCCCTGTCTGGATCTTGACTGCTGGTGCACTAAATACAACACATTTTCWGATTTACACCTCTGACATCTCAAAACTGGACAATGAAAGTACCCTGGATAGAATTACTGGCAAAGCATGGTGATGGGATACCAACAGTGGAGCTAATGGACCGATATTTACTTTTCCTGTTTCAATGCTTGACAACCCTTTCAGTGAATAAATTTTTCCTAATATCCAGTCTACACCTCCCCTGGAGCAACTTTGAAGCCATTTCCTCTTTTCTGTACCTTGTTACCTGGGAAAAGAGGCTGAACCCCACTTGGCCACAGCCTCCTTCCAGGCGGTTGTAGAGAGCAATGAGATATCCCTGAGCCTCCTTTTCTCCAGGCTGAACAACCCCAGATCCCTCAGCCCTTCCTTATCAGACCTGTATTCTGGGTATCTTGAATCATGAGGGCAGTGGGCTGGCCATCAGCAGAGCTCCCCTTGTCTGCACAGGAGGGGTGTCAGCTCAGGGCTTTGCATTTYCAGTGTTGGAACTGTGATTTCAGGCATGTCAGCTCTTCTGAGAGAAGAGCCATCTTGGACACACAGTTTTTTAGTGACTGGTGATTCATGCTGAGCTGTCTTAGAGTCCTCCCTGTGCTGTGGTTGGTGTTCAGCCCTTTSCAGAGGGATGGGGCTGCAGCCGGGAGCTGAACGACCTGCCAGTTCTCTGCTGGGAAAGGCGGGTTCCTCCTTTTCTCCAGGAGGAAACAGAAACATCACACGTTAAATGTAACTGGGTGACTTCTGTTAGTGTTCCTCCACTTGTGAATATCTAAAGAATGGAAGATCCTAAAATCTGAGGCTCCTCTGAACTTCCTGTAAGAGAGATTATGTGAAAAACTCTGCCGTAATTTTCAGTGTTTGAAGACCTGACTTATTGCTGCTCTTTTCGGGACAGACTTTAAAGTAGGTTCATTTTAAGAAGTTTTTTTCTGTACTCTCACTTTCCTGACATGAGCTGATTGGAGAGATTATGAAGTTGCTGTTAATTGAAATGATAAGAAATGGATCATTGTGTCTTGCTGTTCAACCTGTTCTTTATCTCTCTTCAAGGTCATGGAGGCGGAACAGACCAAAACGAGGAGTGAGTTGGTTCATAAGGAGACTGCAGCCAAATACAATGCTGCCATGGGAAGGATGAAACAACTGGAGAAGAAGCTGAAAAGAGCCATCAATAAATCAAAGTATGTTTTACGTTTGGAGATGAGTTTAGTGGTGAAAGCTGAGTGGGGGAAATACTTATTCTGTGGGGTTTTTTGAACTTGTGAAAGTGTACTGCATTTGGGGTTGCTCTCTGTGTGTAGCAGCCTCACAGCACAGTTCGTGCTGGTATTTGTCCTTGATGTCCTTCTMTGTGTCTTTTGAAACACMTGACTYGATAGACTGGTGGGATAAGWAACCTTTTCTGAGCAGTGTCTTRGTCTTGTTCTAGTGCACCAAACTCYTCGGTGGTGWGTGATTTGAGGAACAGGTGCTGTCTGCAGAGCTGCACAGCTCTCTGTGTGGATGTTTCACAGCTTAGGCTTGTTCACAGTTTAATTCTTATTTTTAGTTAGGAGAGCAACAAAGCAAGTGGCAGAAAGATGAAAGGTGTGAGACTTTACCAGTGTAAAGTGCTGTACATGAGATTTGTTTACTTCCTGACACTGCCATGGCGAAGCTGTGTGAGAGCCATTCTTGGGGAAGGAAACTCCCTTCAGAGGGCACAGCTAAGCAGCTCATGTCATTAATAATTGTGTCTGCATTTGCTGTGCAGTTTGGCTCTGTTGCAGAGAAGTGAAACAGGTTTTTGCTCAGAACCTGTTTAAAATTTTGGCCCTGTTTACAACCAATTCTTAATCCTCTTTATATTTCACAGGTTTTTTTTTTTTTTTTAATATTTCCAGACTGTGGCTTGTCTAAACAATCTGCTTGCTGTATTTAGCTTTTAATCCCCTCCATCTAAAAATGACTTTTTGGTGAAATTGGTCAGCTAAAGATCTATTTTGATTAGTGTTTGCTCAATTCAAGAAAGGATTAGCACTTTGCAAGCAAGATTCAAGCATGTTTGCTGAAACAGTGTAGTGGTGTGACTTCCTAGAATGAGCTGCATGCTGTTTGTCTAGCAMTGCACAGGGACTGTGAAAACCATCATCAGATCGCTAAATGACAGGTTCCTCTGGATAAGGGCAATATCTGAGAATAGTTTTGGCTGCTGGGAGTTCCTTCCTTGCAATAAGATTTAAAATAAAGACCATGATTAAATTGTCAGCGGGGTCCTACATAGCTTTCTATAATGATGGTGTAGAGCCTGACATCCCAGCTGCCTCTTGTGTGATGTGCCCCTGAGTTTTCATTTCCTTGCTGGAACTACCCTCAGAGGGGTGTCTTGTGTCGTTCTCCTCGGGCCAAGCTGGTTTTCACTTCTGTGGAAGGATCCCAGCATATTCCTTTGTCTCACAGCAGGGCTGACTGCAGCATAAACCATCTAGGTAGGCTGTTTTGGAGATTCTTTAATAAAGGGTGTACAGAAATGCCACTTCTAACCCAGTATTGAGCTGCAAGATTCCTGGTGGCACAAACAGCCGTGGATGTCTTTGAAGTCGTGCTGCATAGGGATGTTGGAAAGGTCAGTCATCTCCCAGCATTGCAATTTTCACATAAAGGAAAATTGCAACTGAACTGAAAACATCGGTGCTGTCAAGTGGCTGCAGGAACTGGGAGATGAGRCTGCTGAATTTGTGGCTGTTTGTGTTATGGGGTGTAGCTGGCCTCCAGCTGATTTTCAGGAAAGGTTTAACACCAGCATCCTGCCCGACCTCCCTGGGTGGTGTGGGAGCACTGGCGGTGACACTTAGACCTTTCTTTCTGGCCTTTTGTTCATCTTCTCTTTAAACTTGTGGATAGACATGCTGAATGAGCTGCTCTCTTTCGGGCAGAAAATTATTTACATTTGCTCCTTGCTTCRTTTGGGATTAAGATGCTTAAAGCATTACTGTTTTGAAAGCAATCCTGGGGCATCCTGGAGGAAAGTAATTTAGATGATTTGCCGTGTAAAGTTGATGAGCGAAGGATTATTGGATGGTTTTGTTTTGGTTTTGCTTTTAATTTTGTTTCTGGGTGCTTACTTGCTTGTAAGCTATGGGTGTGCATACGGCTGCATGTTCTTAACAGTCACCRGATCTCCTGGCTCGGTGCCTCTGAGCTGTGGGATAATGAACTYGCCTGTGTTAGCTGGTTTTTGGAAGTCACTTTCTGCTCTGGTGRCTCGGGCAAAGTGCCTTTCACTCCTGCTGTCATCTGCCTGAAAAGCACTTTGTSTGTGCCGTGCCCTGGGCTCAGGCAGCCGGAGATGGAGGGCACCGTTTGCAGCAGTGAGCGATTCTCCTGCCCTGCTCAGTTACAGAGCAATCCTCAGTGGTTATAGGGCCGTGCATTTGAGGGAATGAAGTGACCCGAGGACATGGGAGTCCCTCCCCTGCCAGTGCCCTGGTTCCTGCTGGCATCAGGTGCCTGGCTGCATGTGAGCCATGAGTGAGCAGGGATTTGCTGCCTGTCAGGCTCTTGGTCTCCTTTCTGTRGCTGAGGTGGGGTTTTTCTTACCTGTTGCAAGTAAACATTCCTGGTCATATATGYATGTCATTGTGTRTACACACACACACACCCATATAGGTGTTGCTTTTTTCACACCATGCAAACACACGTGTGCTTCTTGTTACCTAACAGAGAGGAGACTTTTCCCCAGGAAGCTGGTGGGAGGTTGGGACTCAAGCCTGGTTGTTTCCTCCCACTTGGCACCAGGGTGAGGGAGGTTGAGAATCAGGTCATTTGAGGTGAGGGAGTTTTACTTCTGTCCCTGTGCATGTTTCCCTGCATCACCATCCTGTCAGTGTTGCCATCGCTTTGGGGTACGGCTGTAGGAGACCTTTATCTCTTGGATCCAAATTCTCAACTGCAGTGTTTTATCTTGCCTGGCAGGWGCATCTGTGTAGCCTTTGGCAGGATTGTGTCCCAGTGAGGGAAGGCAGAGGTGCATTTTGGATGGATCGGTGTCGCTGGAAACATTGAGACTTGGCTGTGCTCTCCTGGTGATGGTGGGAGAGTGCTTAAAAATATCGGAGCTGRAAATAACCTACTCTAATGGCAACAAAACTCAGTTATTTTGTGTGTGACTCTGTAGTGAATTCAACCCTTCAAAGAATATAGTATCAGTATAGTATATATATATCAGTATACTATATATATACTATATAGGATATATATAGTATGAGAAAGTCACAGTTTCACACTCCTGAATTCTAGTGCACACAGTCCAAAATGCAGCTGAASTTGGACTTAGAGCTCAGAAGAGCCTTGCTGTCAGGGCAGACAGACAAGGGTAGTTCAAATTCWATTTCATATAAAACCATATCTGTTTATTTATCTCTCCCCTCCTTTCCAGRAGAGCTTCTGAGAGGTAAGGAGGGTAGTGAGCCCTGCTGAAATACCAGGGTTTTTTTTCTTCTTCTTTTTTTTTTAAACGCTGATCAGTGTTGTATCAGATGGTGTTGGCTTTTGAGCTTCAAAAATTTGAGGCTGAAATGTGGTTTCTAGGTTTTTGACAGCATCTCTTATACCCCTGTCCTTTTGTAACCTTAAAAGCAAGTTGAGGGAAGTGCCTGGTGGGCCACTGTTGAGAAGTGCTGTGCTTTTGTACGTGGTGCTCTGACCTCCTTCACCCTCTCTCTTTCACTGAAAAACCCAAGAACTGCCCCTCCACCCCCCACACCTGAACACTGAGAAGGTTCACCTTCTGTGGAAATTTACATGTGCTGTGGGCTCCAAAATTCGATACSTACAGAGAGGATGCCTGTGCCTGGAGCTGAATGTTACATTTAAATACCTTGCAGAATCTAGGCCTGGAGGAATTGTGCTGTCAACTCCAAAAACTGGATTTTTGCAATTTGTATTTAGGTCAAAAGACACATGAGAAGCAGATACATTAGAGAGTAAGAGAGAGGCACTGAGAGCGTGTGTAGGTGTTCCATCATCTGGAATGGTCTCTTGGGATTGCAGTGATACACAAAATAGCTGTGTTAGTGCTACAGAAAGAGCAACTCCCACGCCAGTACACTGCATTCAGTCCCAGTGATTGTAAACAACTGCTCTTTGTTTTTCCACAGACCTTATTTTGAACTCAAGGCGAAGTACTACATCCAACTAGAGGTACGTGTGTAATTCAGATCCACCTGAAACTCTGTACTGCTTACAGTAAATACTGAAATTACATCCAAAGTGCTCCAACAACTGTGTTGTGTTTCTATACAAAACCAATTCAAAACCTCTTGAGCAATTTGCTAAGCACATTTTAAAGATAAAAGGCTAAGAGAGTCTTTGTTTCCTTGTGTGAAATAAGAGTGTTTGAACTCTGTCAGAACCAAAAGAGAATAGTTTGGCWATCTTTGCTTCTTGTGGTTTAATATGTCTGGGGTTTGTTTGCTTGTTGTGGGTTTCATTTTTTTCTTCCCCWATGTTTTATGCTTCAGACTGTTTAATTGTACTTGGGGTGCTCTTCTATGTTCACTGGTTGGATCAATTAACAGAATAAGCAACTTGCTTGCAGTTCTCAGACATCATGCAGATATGAGTTTCTGCTTTGGGGTTTGGCATAAGAGAGATTTGGGATTTGGCTGGATAGGCTTCCAGGGCTCTTTGTCATCTGTGCACTGCATTCTGTGTGATGCAGCGATGCCTGGCCAGTGCCTGGGCACAGCAGGGCACAGTGGCCCTGGGGCAGGCATGGCAGTTGTGTGGGATGGTAATCCCTGCAATCACAGCCAGCCTTGGAGCTGCCAGGGATGGGAGGGCAGCATAGCCCTACAAATCCACATGCAAGAATCACTCTCTGCTTGAGTGACCTTTGCTGCTTGTGGCCCCAAAGGGGAGCCTGTCCTGCAGAGTTGCAGGGGAGTGGCCAGTGCTGTTGCTGTGGGGTGTGCACAGGGTTTCAGGGCAGCAYATCACCGTGGCTGTGGGTGCAGGRAGGCTCCAGTGGGGTGCTKGGTCAGTAGGAGCCTAGMTGGAAAAAGATTTCCATTCCTTGCWTAGGRTGCAAGGCAYRTCCCACAACAGTTTTGAGCCCTTCCTGAGCTGCCTGGGATTCAACAWGTTGTAAGCCTCAGAGACTYAGGTGTACACCTTTTTCCTTGCCAGGATCCAGGCTCAGGTGCCCTCTGCTCCTCCACCTTGTCTGCCTGCAGCTGCTGCTGCATCAGGCTGAACCTTTGTGTGCCATGGGCTGGGTGCCAGCCCAATAATCCCTTCTGCCTAGGAGCATCTTTTGAGGAATTCCTTTTTTCCATGGGCAAAGATCCACTGCTGCTGGGCCTGTTGCTTCTCCATGGCAGCTGCTCAGTGCCCTCCTGAAGCAAAGTGATTGTGTAAACTGTATGAAAAGAGACCCCAGATTGCTTTAAATGCACAACATAAACCAACATTGAGACAGCCACAGACACACAAGCARTGTTTCCCCTTTGGGATATAGGATGCACAAGATTTCTGCCCTTGCTGTAGGGTGGTGTTTGCACCTYAGGGCACAGGAACTGCTGCATGACAGCTGCCAGGTTTTGAGGTTTGCTGCTTTCTGGTGAGCAGAGGTGACAGGTTTGGTGCTCAGCAGAGAGTGAGGCTTAGCCCCACTCAGGGGTGACCCCCAGCCCTGCTGTGCCCTGCAGACAGGGTCTGCCAGCAAACTTTAGGGGTGGTTGTGGGACAAGCAGTGGCATCGCTGAGAGTGCATTCCTGTTAACAGATCCTGCATGTCAGTGTGTTAGCAGGGCCTCTGCTCTGTGCTCAGCCAGGGAGCAGTCAATCAATCCCAGGCAATCCCAGCCCCTGGCTCCCCTGGTTGGCCTTGCTGTTGTCTCCTTCACAAGTGCCACTGCTTGTGCCAGCTTCTGAATTGTGAACTCTCCCATGCCCTGGATACCAGCCCTGGTTTGTGCTTTCCTGTGCACAGCTGAGGCAGCTGGACATGTAACAGGAACTGTGTGCTCTGCCTTGTTCCTGGTGAAATACAGAGTTCATCTAATACCTGTCTCCCTTGTCAGCAACTGAAGAAAACAGTGGATGACCTGCAGGCTAAGCTGGCCCTGGCAAAGGGAGAGTATAAGACTGCCTTGAAAAATCTGGAGATGATCTCAGATGAGATCCATGAGAGGAGAAGGTCCACTGCCATGGGGCCCCGAGGATGTGGCGTGGGTGCTGAAGGGAGCAACACCTCCGTGGAAGACCTGTCAGCGAGTAAACCGGAGTCGGACACTGTCTCCAGTGAGTATGGAAGCACTGCTTGGGAATATCCCGTGGGCAYTGTAAGAAATGCTGACGCTAGGGCTGCTCTGAGTATTGTGCAGTTTTGAAATTTGCTGGCTGTTGTGGGACTGTGGGTAAACTGTGATGCTTCTTGTTATTGCAGGAGTTGATTACATTCTTTAATAGCCAATTTTCAAGGGAAAGGATAATGAGTTGAAGTGCATCAGCCATTCCCTTAACACCCCTGTCATTTTTTGTACAGTGCTGTGTGAAAGGAGCAAAATTAACGCACTTCAAAGCATGCATCTGATTTTGAGCCAGTGCTGCTGCTGGCAGTGACTCACCTGGGATGGTGGCAGGGTGTCTCAGATCATTCAGCCAGTCTGGGAACAGGCMTTTTGGATCAAGTGCTTGCCTTCCAGTGCTGGGCCAGTGGCAGAGGGAGTAAAGTTGTGGCTACAGTAGTAATGAAAGGCGTGGTGCTCGCATGGAAGCATGGAAGGATAAGCTCCTTCACACTGCAGTCTTGTGCCAAGGTTTGATTTCAGCAGAGCGTGTGTGCTGTAGAAGGGGAAGTGAGGAAGCAGCAATATGCTGGTGCAGTGTGCTGAGGYGCTCTGTAGGAGAGATGGGTGATAGCAACAACCTCCAAGCAAGCAAGGTAACATCTGCACTTGGGGATCTTGTGTTGCACCCTGTTGTATGGTGAGTTTGCGTTTGTTTTGCTCTGAGTGAAAGTGGACAATGCACGTGGCTACTTTTGCCTCTTTCCTGGACACTTTGTCCCCTTCTTGGTGCAGAAAGTGGTTTTTTTTTGCTGCCTAGTCCCCCAAATTTTGATGTAATTTGTATTTCAGCTTCGTTTCTGCAGGGAACAGTCTAGGTCAAGATTTCAGGAGCTCATGATTGCATGAGCAGCCCTGGTGCTCAAAGGTAGAATGATGCAATTTTCCTCTAAACCCCAGTCTGTACTGGCATTGAGGCCTTGTAGGTTTGTGGTACAGCCTTGCCTGTGCCTGGGAGCTGGGAGGGAGCCCTGGCTGCCTCTATCCTCTGCAGTGGCAGGAGTTTTTGCAGGATGTGTCGGAGCTCTCTCACTCAGCACTGTGCAGACAGGACCTGAATTGCAGCAGCGAGTGCTGTGTCTGGGCCAGCTGGTGCCACCAGGTTTTGTTATGGCTGCTTCTCTTCTGCCACCCTGAATCCCCATGGTTGACCCTTTCTGAGCTAGGCAGGAATTGCCTCTCTTGGATTCCTGCAAATCCCCCTCCTCCTGCAGAAGGCTTCCTAAAAGCCTCAGATATGACTGAGTTAGGKGTATCTTGTGCTGAGGGAGTTCAGGAGCCTGGGATTTAGGGTAGAAAGATCGGGAAAGTTAATACTAATATTAGCTGCTGGCTCCCCTGGCCGCTGCTGAGGCTGCAGACAAGGACCAGCAGCGTGGGCTCATATCCCTCTTTGAATTGCACTGTCTGACAGGGGTGGAGGGACATCAGCTTGTGTCTGGTGCCAGCACAGAGCTGGGTTAGGACAGGACTAGCAGCCTGCCAGACTTTATGGCTAAAACAGCCTGGATTAAGCTCTCACTGTAATGTGAGTGAAGATTTCCAGCAAGGTCCTTTTATATCTTGATTTCTGYCTGCCAGAGTTGGATAAAACACCTTGTCACCAGCAAGAGTTCCTTGGCCCTTGCGGATGCCTGTGTGTGTTACGGTGAATTTAGATGGTGAAAAGGAAGCTACGGTTAAAGCTGTGCTGCTTCTAGACTGGCTCATGTTCATGCTTCTTGCCTGCTGGAGGACTCTAACTAGAAACATCTTTTATTGCTTTCATCCCCTGCAAAGTTACCTCTGCTGCTCACCATATATTGATGACACTCAGTGAGTGAGAAGAAAGGACCTTCTGCAGTCTTAGATTTGACTTCATTGCAAACAAAACAATAAAACCCAAACCGCAAGAAAAACTGTCTCTGAGCATGAAGTGCCCTGGAGGGGGCTCAGGGAGGTGGATAATGTTATTCATTTTATGTTTGAAGCCTWTTGGGTCAATTTTGTTATGTATAAGTGCATTCTGCAGTGTGCAAATCCAGTGGCAAGAGGCTGACCATCTCTGCAGTGACCGTGTCCTTGGCAGTGGCCTCTGTTGGCACCTTTGTGCCTTAGGGGTGCCTGTGAGCCCCWGGCTGCCAAGGTGACAGAAGAACTTCTTTGAAGCTCCTCCTTTGAGCCATTTTGTTAACGCTGCTGCTTTGCTCCTGCTGCTCTTCCAAGGCGATCCTGAGCCTGGCTAACAATGGCAGGAATCGCAAGGAGGCGGAATTGGAGATAACCTCAGGTCACTGTGGATGTCTTGCTGTGGCTGGGACTTCTTTAGGCCAGTGTGATTCCAGAATCACACGCTTGTGTGATGTAGAGAACCTGCTGATCCCTTCTGACTGCTTATGTGCAGAAGTCTTTGGTTCCCATCTTGCAATGARCCTCTGAAGTCTGTTGAATTTCTGCAAAATCTACACCCTTGAGTTGCACAAAATAGAGCCTTCTTTAATGGTTTTCTYCTCTGGCTGTTCATAAGGACCCTGCAGCTTAATCTAGACAGACAGTTTGGAGCTGGTTTGYTTTAATTAGAATTCAGATCTGAGCAAACACAAGCAGGGAAAGGAATATATGTTTTTTTTTTTTTAATTCGGTTGCTTGGTGATCCTCATTCAAAAAGRAATCTTGGGAGTTCTCGCTGGATTTTAACTGCTAAATTGTGAAGATAAAGTGGACAGAACCTGCCACGGAAYCTGTGTCTTTCTAATTAGTGCCTTAAATAACCAGGAGGCTGTGCTGGGATYGAGATAGTGCTGGGGGAGGCAGACACAGGGAACTGGACTCTAACCTAGCCAGTCCACTGAAGACCACGAGTGAAAAAGGCCAGCAGGGCCAGGAAAAATCCAAGAGCTTCTTGGCGTGAGGAGCAGCTACTGCCGTGCATGGTGTGGCTGCCAGGTGTTCTGCTCCTTAGGGCAGAACCTGGCTGAGGCTTTGCACAGGGGCAGAAAACCAGAGGGGACAATGCATGGGTTAGCATTGTGTCTGTGTATGGAAGGTACAAACCTGAAAAACTGCCCTTGCCTGGGAAGGTGCAGGAGGGGGATGGAATTACTGACTGGATTATTTTTTGACTGTTGCAGTGGCTTCAGAAGTGTTTGAAGATGATAACGGCAGCAGCTTTGTGTCTGAAGAAGATTCAGAAACTCAGTCGGTGTCCAGCTTCAGCTCCGGTCCCACCAGTCCCTGTGAGGTGCCCACTCAGTTTCCTCCTGCGACACGACCTGGAAGCCTGGATCTGCCCAGCCCTGTCTCCCTCTCTGAGTTTGGGATGATCTTCCCTGTCCTTGGCCCCCGCAGCGAATGCAGTGGGGCGTCCTCCCCGGAGTGTGAAGCTGAAAGAGGTACGCACAGCTGGATTCACCMTGGACCAGTGTTTTTCAGCTTTATAAAGGGAGCAGGAAAACTTCCTTAAGCTCCCCTAGGTGTATGCCAGGGAATGTTCCAGCTGCTGGCCACCTCTTGKTGGGGAGGGCAGCTCTGGAAGGCCCTTTGTCTCAAAGTTAACAACGTCTGTAATRTATTAATTATTGTTCTCCTGGCTGGGAACATTCCCCAGTTCTGTCTTAGTGCAGGGGTTTGAAATTTCTCATGAAATAATTCATCAGTGGTATTCTCATGGAAGAAAATCTGAGTTTATTTAAATTACTGTCCTGCTTAYGGAAAATCTTGCTTTCCAAAGCAGGGGAAAAAACCCAAAAACCCCACCAAAAAATAACATGCCAGAAGGAGCTTCTTGCAGGCTCTGCCAGCCCTGGCTGACTCATTCAGACGAGAGGATTACCACTGCCCTTGTCTGCTCCATCCTGAGGCTGTTCTCACTGATTTGCTGATGCAGTGCCCAAGACGAGCGTGGCTTGCAAGGCCAGCTCAGTTTTGTTAAATCATCTTGCTCCTGCTCCCGTAATTTCTGCGCACTTTGGCAAAGGAAGCTGCAGAGGCACCTACTCGAAGCTTAACTTGCAGAATGAAATCCAGCTTTAACATCCAGTTTAATCCTTTCTTTGCAGGGGATAGGGCAGAAGGGGCTGAGAACAAGACGAGCGACAGAGCGAACAAGAACAGGAGCAGCASCAGGAGCAGCTCCACTGACGGGCTGGCTCTGGATAACCGAATGAAGCAGCTCTCCCTTCAGTGCATGAAAATCAAAGAGGGAATATATGCCGGCAGGAAAGCTGCCCAGATTGGCTGAGTCCTTCTCGTGCCCCGTCCTGATTAATGGGAGTCTAAATATTTATACATGAACTTCTAAGTGTTTGAAGAACGTTGTGCCAATAATATATGCCAAATCTTAAGCGTTTACTCTGAGAATTTAAAAATGCACTAAGAAGTTTAATTGATGTGGAGGGCTGAAGTTTTTATTCAGTAAATCCTTTGTAGGCCGGACGAGTTATCAAATGTTTAAGCTGTGCTCATATTTCACAGACTTTGTAAATTGTTTTGTAGCAGCAGCCTGGCTGAAGCAATAACTAGTAATGTTCCCGTGTAAATTCATGCCAGTCGGGGGTCTGAAATTCAAGCCAGACATTTGCAGAGAGCAGTCTGGCTTTGGTTTTGTAGAATGAAATGCTCTTTAGATACAACTGATCTCTTGAGTACAAGTGGCATAATCTTTAAACATCTGTATTTGTCTGTATTATGCTGAAACTGTAGAAATATTTTGTATACAGGAAAACTGTTGCATGTGTGGGGTCTGAAAGCCTTCACTCTTCCCTTGGTGCTCACAGAAAGGATAAATGAGTCATGCCTCTAAAAGCCCATAAAACAGATGGATGACAAAAAGGGGATGGTAACGCCCCCAGCAGTGGGAGGCCCTTTCTAGACACCTTCCCGAGTCTGACTTGGACTCTGCAGGTGATTCCAGTGACCAAAAAGAGTTGATTGGCCCCTTGCCCTTCTGCTCCCCTGAGAAGTGAAGTATTATTTTTCAGCACTTTAAGTGGTTTTTGGTTTGGTTCTTTYTTTCCCCCCTCAAAAATGGGAGTCATATAGGTGTTTTCAGGATGAGTATGATAAGGAGTTTGCCCTTGAAATATGCATGAAGAAAAGGAAATTGCCGGTGTAGATTGACGATGTGTTCTTAAGCTTCTCTGTAGGTTGTACTGTGTGGGGGTTTATAACCGTTAAAGGGACTCGGGATTTTAGTATGCCCTAGACAAAGTGTTCRATGAAACTAGAAAGGGCACGGGGCATGTTTTGCCAGCAGCTGTTAGGCAGTAGTAGTGTCTGATAATTATGCTAATAAGTGGTAGTAAAAAWCCTAGGACTCTTCAGTTTTGGTGACTAAGCATTTCTGAAAGCACCATTTTATCTAAAATGTCAGTTTATATTGTTAATTTGATGGGAATTTTAGTATTGCCCAAAGTATTTTCTATTMTATGTTTTTGCAGTCCTGTTGTATTTCATCCCTGCCACGGCTTGTGTATCTATTCTCAAAGTTAATGTAAAATTCTTCACACTACAGTAAACATTTTTGTTTTCCACGTTTTGAGTCTGTGCAAGTGATGTTYATCTCAAGTGCAAGGAACCAAGTCTTCTCCCACAGCCAGTTTAGTCTCCAAATACCCATTTCCAGCTGCAGACTGCAGGCTGGGGTCATACTGGTGTTAGAATCCATTGTGGTACATGGGCAACTGTTGCTACTTTCCAGCTTCCTGAATCCCTGCATATGTGGTTCACTTTTCATTCTGAACTGTGCCACACGACCAGAGCTTTACTCAGGTTTTCCAAAACCCCCTTAGTGTGCAGCAGGAGGGAGGTGTTTGTTACATAACACCTCTGGACTTAGTGCTGCTGAAATTGGCCATAAAGCCGTGCAGAATTGGAGGCAACAAATCCTTTTTCATTAAAAAAAAATAGATTAATCACATTATAGCTGTTAAGCTGTAACTTTGTTAGACATTTATATGTTTCACCTTAATGCTGAAATCTTCYACTGCCAGCAGTTCACAGGCCTGGAAAATGCTTAGTAAAGAAATTTGTGGTTCCAGCTTCTGATGTGGCCATTACTTGGGGAAAAGCTGGGATAGACAGTATTAAATATGAAAAGCAGTACAGAAGTGCCACACTGTATTAAGTAGTTTTACTTAAACTTTCATAGTTGAGCTGTTGTCTGTGCTGCATTTAGTTACAAAAATTAGCAGAGGTCTTTGTGATTGAATTGCACTTTTGCAGACCTCCCAGTGAACACCTGTTACGTTTTCCTGGGTTCTTTGAATGGCTGTTTTAGTGGTGATTTTTTTTCTTCTTTTTCCCCTTTTTTTTCTCTCTTTTTTTTTTTTTTTTTTTTTTTTTTTTTTTTAATCTCTCTTGCTGTCAAGATTTCTTCTCATCTTGCCAGTTCTTGCCAAACTTCCCACACTTGGATGCAATGAAATAATTTTGCGTGTGTGCTGCCTTGCTTATATCCTGATTGGGTTCAGCTCCCAACAGGGTAAAACCATTGACCTGGAAAYGTGAAAGGGTGTGGAACCCCCTCTGCCATTACTTTTATACCACCTTTCTGCAAAAGTTGTTGAAAGATCATGCTGCAGCTTTCCTCCTTTGGTGACCCCCGGACTTGGTAGGTAAATCACCCTTTAAATGTGCAAGCAAACAGGCAGAACTGTGTGTCTAATAAATTAATGGAAAACTCATTTTTATTTTAAGCTTCATAAAAGCCGTAATTATAAACATGACATACTTAAATGAATATACATTACTATGGAGTACAAGCAAATGAACAGACTTTCTCCAATTACTTTTCTGTTGGAGCTCTTTATGGATTCTGAAGTGTAACATGATGGTAGCTGCCTTCATGGGTGTAAAAATAAGCCTCTGGCATATTGTACATGATTGCTTCAGCTGCCCTGACATGAGAATGTATAAAGCAAATGTTAACCTAGGAGTTCTACTTCTCTTTGGTATTATCAAACAATTTCAGTGTCCTTTTAGACAAAGTGATGAAAACCTCTACTATCTGTACACAAACATAGGTAGGTGGCTGTTCAAAGGCTGCAGAGATTGTATGGTTAAGTGCATAATTACTGTACAAAATAGTTACATGAAGCTTGCAGCAGGAGACAAGAACTGAACTCAGACTCACAGTCTGGGGCAGTTGGGATAGAAGCTGTTGATACCATTCATCCATGATACAACATCTCACTGAATCTTTGAGAACTGAGGGAKTGGATTAAACAATATGAAACAAACAGAACAAACTATGTCCTCTGTCAGATGGCTCAAAAAATGCTAAACAGTACAGGGGAAAGAAAAGCTTAACTTAAGGGCCTGAGGTTGTGTTAAAATCTAAGGATCAGTTCACTTTGCTGGAATTTTTCCAGATTCATTTGTGGAAAAAATACAAAAGTATGTATTTGACAGAAAATATTAAAGCAAACCATAAATGCTTACATCAATATTTCTTCTTAAGAAAAAAGGGCAAGAAAACTTTGTCCTAAAAGTATTTGCCATAACCAGAATCTGTAGACTACAATTTATACGGATATTTTGTAGTRCCTCTAAATACTTCACCTGAGTGTTCTGTCCTATATCTGAAGGGAGATGCACAGGGGTGGCATTTGAGCAGCCTATGTGGGTGCAATATATGGACAGAATTTATTCTATATAGATTATTTTATATATATAAGATTGACGCTAAGCTTAAATCCTGGGTGTTAATGGGGATGAACCCAATTCACTGTTCCATATGTGCAAGAAATACTGGCCTATCTGGATGTGGACAGGATCCTTTGTCCTTATGCCTTTGCCTGGCCTTAGGAAAGTGAGTATATTTCTTACTTTTAGTTCAGTTCAGTTTCAGTTCAGCACAGTATGGAAGCTGAGCTTCATGCTCGTTTCATGCAGCATAAGCTTTGGCACTAACTTGTGCTTAGGGGAAAAAGAAAGAAAAACTCCTTCCTACCAAGTAGGAACCAACTACTGAAGAACCACAACAGATTTTCCTGTAGGCAAATCTACCAGCTTGATCTCAAACAGCAGAGAATGTGCAAGAACTTGGTGCTGAGAGCTGGCACTTCCGGCATCTGTCTTTTGTACTGCCAAGAAGATACACAGTTGAGACTTCTCTCTACCTCTGACTTAGAGATGAAAAGATACATGGAGGACTCCACCGCTACTCTCATTTAGCCTCAGCTAAAACCAGAAGGTTGTAGGGAAAAATGGAGTTGAATGAAATTTTCATTTTGTAGGGATGAATCCGTCCTTGGCACATACTCCAAACACCAAGCATAACTACAAAAAACCTAATCTGTTTTCCTGTCAGCTTGTGCCCATGCTGTTTCATCCATTGATTTATTGCAATAATAATCAGAAACTTCCCTTCAAAAGAAGGTAAGCCACTCTGTGACAAACTTGTCACGAATTCCCTAGCCCAGATTGTTTCTGGTCTCTGCAGTCAGCAAGGCATGTGTTTTCAAAGGCATGAGTTCTTGTACTTTCTGAAGAGAACTAATAGTAAACTTCTGTGGGAATAATTTTAGCCCACAGATATTTCTGGTGCTGATGTAGAATGTGTGCTCAGTTAATAATGGCTAAGTGACACCTGTGCTCTAAAGCAATTTAAATGCTACCTTTTCACTTGGAAAACTGCCAAACCAGTGTGAATGGCAGCAAAATTCCCATAGCTGTTTTGAAAATACCCTCTCCCCTAACCATCAGATATTGTAAATTTTGTAAAAATGACAAAATTTAATCAGTTTCAGGATCTGTGAGRCAGCTGGTAYTACATGAAAAYGTGTYMTCTTGAATCCTCATCRGATACAATGTATATAGATCCTGTAYATAGAGTTCTTAAGAACTCTGACCCTGCTTCTATTGATGACACTGGCYAAGTGCTCAAAGCATTCACTGGCTTCACCTTACAAGGCAAAAGTTATATTTTCAAAGATGTCTTGTATAGTACAATAAGCATGTGCATTCCTTGCAGTTGTGGTGTATCGGGCCAAGGTTTAAATGATCTTTCCCTAAAGCATACATATTTACAAAAAGGATGAAAATAAACCATTTCTTTGCTGGGTTGCTGATAGTGGGAACCAGCCAACTGAGACTACCCTCAGTGGATACAGTGAATCTTACAGCAGATCTTTAGATTAAAACCTTTCAAAGCTGCTGGAGGAAAGCTGTGCTGTGCTGCACTGCCTGGACACTGCTGCTGGATAACCTCCTGGCCTTCCTGTTTATTGGGAGCAGCCTAGGTCTGGCAGCTGGCAGGAAGAAAGGCACAGAACCTTATGCTCTATTATGTACTAAAGTTATACAGATAGGAAGTTACAGCTCTCAAAGCACATGTAACATGAGCAAAGCCATTGCTCTGCTTTCAGAAATAGCTAAAGCTGGAACCTTCTTTTTCCTTTACTCCTATGTACACATTCCAGACAAGCTGACACACAGAATACTACTGGCTCAGCAGTAGTACATTTACATTTAAATGTGAGAATCAGTTCAGTGCTGAAAACATTGAMGATAGCAGCACAAATATGTAATAAAAGCTATTTGGTCCTGAGACTGAATAAGCAGAATACACAAGAATACTTTTTTCTTACATGTTTACTTTTAAGAATAGAATCTTTAACCCATATACCCTCTRTGTTGGGAGGAGGGAAATTCAATGTTAGTTCTTGTAACTCACTAGACTTTGATTCAAAGTGTGGAAAAACTGCAATAAATTGAGTTCTGCTGGTTCACTTGAATATATGCATTTCAGCCTATTCCCAAGCCYGTTGAACAGTGCTCACTCCTGGATCATAGCAGCAAACCCACAGCCAACTGCCTGCCACAATTAWYTGGCAATCCATGATTCCATGCTCTYAATTCAGGATGTAATTTTCTTTTGTGCATGTGTAGTAAAGGTTCTTCGCCTTTTCTCAGGATGCTGGACAGATCAAAACCATCTCTTTAAACAGTACTGCACAGTTCTGTCTCCTCACTGCAGCTGTGACACCTTAAGAGGAGTAGTACTGTTAAAATCTAAGAAAAAAGGGCCCTCTTGTTGAGGCAGGAATGTGGTGGGGATWATGTTGTAAACTCCAGCAAATATATTCTCCACCTCCAAGTAGCAAAATCCACACCTATGATAAAGAAAACTACCTGTTAGACATGGSATCTAAAGTATGTTTCAAACCTCTACACAGATTCCATGAAGTATTACCTGTAGTCACCACTACTTTTTTTCTGAAAGCCATAGGAACCAGGATCTCCTACAGTCGAGACGGTGACGAGTTCAAAACCAACGCTGTATTGCCTGCAAGTGACRTGACAGACTTGCTTTAGCTATTTGGGTCATCAGGATTATCACAAAGAGGGATAGTTATTAAAAACTGTATGGTATAACTGAAAGACATCTAAAAGTTTTGTCACATTCATCACAGAAATTTACCATGACATGAATGTAGAATTTGAAGGAAGACAAAATTTAATTCAGCTTTAGAACTAGACTGCAGGGAAAATGCCTGCTGGAAGCCTGTCTCTGCATTGAAGCAGAATTCAAGCAGTTAAGCTTGTGACACAGTCCTGTGCCACATGGCAGAGATCCCAGGGTGTGATCTGATTGCTATTGGAGGACTCAATGTCAGTGATCTCAGYAGAATTTCTCCTGTTACAATACAACTTGGGACACATCATCTGTTCCTGTTAATGCATGTGACAGGCACCACTGCCCCTGTCATTCAAACTACCCAAATATGATGTGCAAMTGCAGAAAAAATGCATACAAAAAAAATGCTCAATTCATGGAACCATACAGTCACCCCTGTGTCTTTATCTTCATTTCATGAGAGAAGGAGTTTCCTCAAAGAGGGAGGAAACTTAGAAAACTACAGAGAAAAGAAGGCTCCTGTTTTCCTTGTAGGTCAAGGATTTCCCTCAGTAGTTAATGTGTAGGTTTAAAACTAAAGATGGTAAAGATAGAAACATAAACAGTACTAAATCTGAGTCAACTCCCACACCTTGTCTTCTGGATTTTCCATGAGCTTCCCACCCTCCCCAAGAGGATACTGACTTCAGCTTTATCTTTGGCATGTAATGCCTTCACTGTACTGATGCACAATTATTTTCTACAAACCTTGGTCCCCGTAGTTCAATTAGCAATGGCCCATTCTTGTCTAGCTGGAATTGRTAAACGGGGTTATTTTTATAGGTGTCTCTGAAATTTCCACATCCTCCAGCACTGTGACCTTTCCACTGTCCATTAACCTAAAAGAAGTCAAAAGTACAGAAAAAAAAATCCTGAGGATTTGTATTGCTTTTATACACACACACACAAACAAGACTAGAGGGTTCTCTCACTTTAGAGGTTACTGACTTCTCTTAATTTTTAAAGTGAAGTGAAAGATGGTCTTAAGCACTCATGGAGTCTCACTGCAGACYCCCACCAACCTCGATCAAAGCCCTMCACCCTTAGACATGCACTGGATTCTTCCAGCTTACATTAAATAAGCAACAAGTGACTGTTTATGACAAACTGCAGCTAACAAAAGACCCACATTCCCATCCATCCCACTCCTACTAGATTGTGCAGTTTATTGGTTTTTTTTGTCTCAAACACTCCTCTGTTGGGTTAAATGAGACAGCAGTGATACAGGCAGTCCAACACTAATAATGCAGAATCTTTACTTTTAAAGATCTCTGCCTCCAGCCCTGTCCATCACCTCCATGCACTCTGAGAAACAGCACTGCAATGACAAGATAACCATAAGGACAGATTCTGCWAGGACAGAGACACACAAGAGGAAAAATACTGCTCAGACTTTGAGAAACAGGCCATCTGTTTCCAAGTTCCTCCTGCTAGTCATTAAACTGAAAGGTTAGACTTGTAAGACATGCCAGGCATTCAGACAGATTTATAGCTKAGATCCATCTCTCCTGTTACTTCCCTCCCATTTCTGTCAAATCAGCAAGGGGCAGCATTTTCCCTGGTGATTTAATTTCTTCACTCAGTGCCCAAAACCTTCAAACAGGGTAAGTATGGAAGCAAAGGGGATTTCTCCCCCTGCCATGCTGCCATACTACCCAGGAAACTAAAACTGGTGTATGCTGCTAAGTTTTCTAACCCTTTTCCACCTCTGTTACATTTAATTTCAGGAATCACACTAGGGCTTGGTGAGTTCCAGGGGTGATCACTTGACTCCAATATAGGACATCTAACAGAACTTGTCTTTACTGGTAAACTGTGAATTAGTTCTCTGCTTGCTTTTGAGTGTGATGACTGCTAAGCAAATACATAAATAGGCATTAAATACAAGCAACTGACTTTTTGTATTCAATCCTAAAGATGGAACTGGCCTTGAATAGATAGAAAATGCCTTTTTTTGCATACTAGGCAGGCATMTTCAAATAATTAACCAGAGTTTTCTACATACTTAATTCTCTTTTCAAACATATTAATAACATGAAACAGATGTCCTTCTTTAAACAGGACACATTTCACCTTTTAATGTGTTTTTTACCTCTTAAAGCACTTTCTCAAAGTAAGCCCAGTTTTTAGTACCTATATAGGACAACAGTTTCTGGAAGAACCAAGCAAATCATTTTGCTTTTCCCCAGAATCTCTCTACTCACTCACCATTCTCTAGAACAGGCTTCAAGGGACTGTTCCAGAAATAACAGCTGGTGTGGAATACTGTCTGAACCTGAGAGCCAAGCTGCAAGCCAGCATGTCCCCCTGACCACACAAAGTAATGCAATCCTTGGCTTCAGGCAYGACTGTCCTAGAAAATGGACTGTTCCACTGTGGCTCAAACTCCCTTATTTCTCTCCTCCTGAAGAAGTTACTGTTTGGACAGAAGACTTCTGGTTATAATAGGATTCCCCAGGATATGCATGGTAGGTACAGAGCTAAAGTTAACAGCTGCTGGCTTATTTTTTTTTCCTGAGGATAAAACTGCTAAAACATGAAAATGCAAGTTATTTTATCCTGTGAGCTCATGGCTATATTTATACTTCAGCTGAAGGTGTAACTGCAGCTCATGTTGACAGCTGAAATATGAACAGCAACTGGCCCCAAAACTGCCTGAGCTTCTGAATTAATTTCAGTCAAGTTTTTCACTCCTGCCCCTGTTCCTGTACTTTCAAGGAACATTTCTACAGGAAATGTACAATGAACATACTTCCTTGATCCTGTTTGGCAGTGGAAGTACTTATTCCAATGGTTACAGACCCCTGACATATATTTGCAAAATTTAGGAACATTAATGCGTTGTGATATTGCCTTCCTAAGTTTGTTTGTCATAGTCTTGCTACTGGTGCCTTTGGTTTGGCATTGCTGATTTTTTTCCCACCAAGCCACGAGTTTTTCCAAGAAAATCATGTAATTCTCCCAAGGGAAAATAAGCAATGTTTCTAGAGGGTTTTCACTCTGCATCATTACTAGCACAATCTGATTTTTTCTGCAGACTGATGACTTATTAGGGTACAGGTTGTTGTTCCAAAGGCCAGTCTGTTCTACAAAGGCTTTGCAAGCACATCTGCGATGGCACAGCTGCACCAACACACTCTGTGGTGGAGGTGGGGCTGCARTATCAAAATATATTTAAAAACCTTGTACATCTCAAATATGGAAAAGCCAAACCAGTGACCCATAAAAGAAAATGTTTCTTTACCCGCTTGGAAATGGTGTAAGGTGTAGGAATCTTGGAAAAGGTGAACTTGCACAAGGAATACACCTGTGTTGTAAAAGAAGCAGAAGGTCACACAATCATCTTGCACTTTTCAGATGAAATTGTGGCAAGTTAAAAAAAAGGCAGAATTGCCTACACAACATTTTTAGATACTTGTTCATTACATGCCTRTATTACCCACCAGATGACCCTGTGTCAAACTTAAAATTCGGAACAGTGCTGTGACTACGACTTAGTTCTACTTAATTTTTCTTAACGAAGAACCCAACCCAAACAAAAAAAACCGAACAAAAAAAAACCAAAATGGAAACAATCTGCATCTTATTCTTTTTTTCAGTGAAAAAAATCTAGCATTGATCATTATGTGAGTCAGCAGTAAGAGAAAAMTCCAAATCCTAAGTCAAGATCTAGAGAAGTCAAAAAGAACTTTTAATTTTAACCAGGATCTAAAATAACCAGGTTTATTTTGGATACATAGAGAGCCAATGATCTGCCTGCACACAGACATATTTTTATTCTAGGAAATAAGAGTATTTTTCAGCTGATTTCATTACTAGAATTTCATTTGTAAATCCACACTTAACTACAAATGGAGAACATTATCAAACACTTCAYCCAGTGGTTCTGCTCCATCATTCACAGCCTCCCTCCCTGAAACTGCAATATTGGTTCAAAAGAATGCTTTTAAATAAAATCTAAAAATTTTTAAATCAAATTGAAAAGGCTTTATTTAATTGCCTACATTCATTATGAAACAAAAGCACATACCCTGATGGTGTAATGGATGGTGTTTTGTTTCTCATACTGGGACACCACTAAGGTGAATGTATGGGAACCTGGAGAGGTCAGCTTTATCTTGGTCAGGTAATGAGGACTGTTGATCCGAATGCCATCAATATATGGAGCAGGATCAGCTGAAAGAGAAAAGAATCAACACTTTTCCCTGAACAAAAAATCCACCAGCTTGGTAAACTTCTACTAAGATTAGCCCAAACAGATCCAAGTGTTCTGAWCAGAAAAGAGCCTCAAGATTTACCCATAAAAAGGACAGACAGTCTTAACAGCAACTACTGTTTTCAGGATAGGTACATCACACATGACAGACACAAATTCCACACTTAAAAGTACAGCTTAAATCCCAAGACTTGCAAGAACTGCTTATCCTTCTCACACCAATGTCACTACTCAAAGAAGATCTACTGTAATTATGCTGAAATWTCAAGAGAATGATAATGAATGTTAGGCACTCTTTGAAAATCTCTGAAGTGTCTGTTCTTTCTCCATTGGCTGGACAGTTCCAGAATGCCAGCTGCCAAACTCTTTGGCCATCTTGTAAACAAATACTTCAAAACATGTTAATTCCTGTAACTAAATCACACACGCTTTCTCTCCCTCTCTCTTCAAATCCCTGTGATCTTTACACAGATGTAGTTGCATCCCAATACYAACACACATGTGGTACTTAGAAAGATCCCAARTGTTTGCTTTTACAATTGGACAGTGTAATTTGTTATTTGGCCTCTAATTGGTTCTTTCCAGAGTTCTTTTAATTTCAGTGAAGCAGGACCAGGTCTAGCCAATTATTTCAATAGGCCCAGGATCAGGTCCTTTTATTTTCTTCTACAAAGCAACACGGGAGAGGGGAAAGGATTAATATAAAACAATAAGAAGCTTAGGAATGGGAAATCTCGGCCTTGCTGCCAAAGGATTAAGCTGCTTTGTTCTCATCTCACTTTAACAGATGGTTAAAAATAATACTGCAGCTTGACCAATCTATTTCCATAGAAAAAGGTTTTAAACAAGTTCAAGCTCGTGAGATTAKAAGTTTTTAAAAGAGTTTGTGTAGCAAGACAAAACATATGAATCATTCAGGTTTTGCTACTGGTCTTGCTAGACTGTCTCTTTCAAGCACAACTGAACAATTCCCTCTACAATACGAATGTGTTTGGTTTGCCCACTTAAGAACATTTTCAGTGAGACACACGTGTAAAATAAGCACTGCTACAACTACCAGCAACTCCAGATGCAAGTCTTGGGCATCTGCTGCTCCTTACAGAGAAGCTCTTGCGTAAACAGATGATAATTTGGTCAGGTGTCAACAAATCTTTCTACAGAAAGACTTGCATTYTAGAGGAACCTTGGATTCTGGAGGAGTTGGTCAGCAGAATTCACTGAACAAGATCAGATGTGAACAAGGCAATGTTTACCAGTCATTCCAATAGAAAATGTCCCACAAATTCCACTGCTTGGTGAAAAAAAGCTTTAAAAGCTGCTAGGGGAGTTGTTGCATGAGCAACTACCTGAATGCAAACCTGGTTTCTAAGGGTTGTAAACGGTTCTAAAGAGGTTCCTGTTTGTAAAAGCAACAGATGAAATCCCACTTGTTTTAGGATGAACCTTCACTGAATTATCCTAAGGAATATTTTTAATTTAGGACTTTCTTGATGGAAATAAATAATAAATAAAAATATGATTTTAGAAGCTCTACCTTAAACTTTCAGTTTATCCATTTAACCTGGGCATTACCTTTACAGCCCGTGTCTCAGCCTGCATCTCAGATCTGCTGTCTTGACATAAAGCATACATGGCTATGTAACAGCTACAGCAAAACTCCAAAAGCCAAACTCCTTCTCCTCAAGGAGAACAGAATTTGACATATCATGATCAAGAGTGATATTTTGATAAAATTTGAGTATTTTAAACATTCCCTACCTGATATTTGGCAATATGCGAAAGTGTTCACCTCTGTTTCATAAACTTGCTTAGTTACTTTACTAAGCCAAGTTCATGGGACTATTAACCCTGATTATTTTCATTTTGTGGAAGCTGTAGACCTTTAAATAAATTCACAAATGTAGAAAATAACTATGCTATCAGCAAAATTAAAGCACAGTATCTGTTCCCTCTAACCATTAACTACCGGGACTGAAAAGGAAATAGAAAAAAAAATACTGCATCAAAATAAATGCCAGCAGGGCTATGTAGACCTCTTAAAAGTGTTTACAGCATGTGTAGAATGGCCTATTCCTTCAGTGTAGACTTTAAGTGGGATCAAGCAGAGCAAACCAACTATTTCAGAAGACAGATCACTTAGTGAGGCATCTAGTTTTAAAACAAAAAATGCCTTTGCTCTCCATGAAATTCTTTCTAATTACTCCTTTATTCATAAGCTTCTGACAATTACAGTACACTAACCTGGATAGTAAACTTTTTTGCCATCAGTCTTGTATACAACCATTGTAATGAATTCCCGATTGTGTGCAAAGTCATCCTATTAAAAAAAMMMCACAAACARACACAAATCAGAATTGTGCAATTCYRTGAAACAGAATGAATGCCTAATCAGAGTCAAGTACACATTCTACCATCCCTTTTGATCACAACACAGTACAATCTGATATTTGTATTTACTGGTATACCAACAGAATTCTTTKTAAAATGCTTGAAGTAAACAAACAGCCACTAATTGAACTTATTCAGGCCCCAGGATTCATAGTTACTTCAGAATCTTTACGGTGGAACAGAATCTCTCAGTTTAAATTTTACTTTGGGTCTACTTCAATTCCAGGTATGTGTACCTGCTGAATTGAGAAATCCCACACGTACACAGGCATGTACCTGCTGAATTAAGAAATTCCACACGTACAGAGGCATGAACACAGGCAGTAATATACCAATAAAAGAAAGTCACAGAGAAAGATTTGCAGAACAAGCACCTTGTCAGTGATGTGCCTGCTGAGCAGGACCCAGACGGCAGCACCACCCTGTGGACACTGCACCTCCAGCTTGTACTGAGGGTTGTTGGCCAGGCTGTAGGCATCCTTCACCGGGCCCTGCTTTGCGTCCCACGTACTGAAAGTGATACAGACACATTATTAGACCAGTAAGAAACTAATTTGTGCTTTGAAACGAACTCCAAATCCTACACATACACTACAGACCAGATATTATCAGTAACAAGTTACCAAAGCCTAATTTTCTACTGGAATTTATGACAGYGGTTACTTCACACAGTCACATCAGCAGCATTATCTTAGAACCTTATTTTATAAATCAGTTCACCACAATGCACGTGTGATAATAAAAAATGCTAAATACAAACAGCCTGGCTCATGACTGCAACCACATAAAGCACAGAAAAAGCTGAACCATTCAAGGAGCCTGGGCTACACAACCATAGTCATGATTGCACGTTCTAATATTAAATGAAATACATCTTCACTTTTATAACTCTAGAAATCAATCCATCCATCCATCCATCCATCCATCCATCCATCCRTCCRTCCRTMMGTTATGGTTAGTTTCAAAACCTCGCTGAACTTTTTCCTCCATTTTCTTTTCTGAGGCAATTTTTGTTTTAAAATTTGTCCTATTTCATGCTTGAAAAAGTGCCCTGCAGGGAGTGTTAAAGATCTTTGAGGTGCCCTACAGCAGAATCTGCCTGCTGCCTCATGAAGCCTCTAGACAAGAAAAATACAGTGTGAAAAACAAAAAGTGCTGATGGCTGAACACAAAGTGTGGCACACTGGAAACACAGGTGTATGCAGCTATTCCTAAGTCTTCTTGTCCCTCTCACAACTGCAAAAYTGAACAGCATGTGTGGAAAGTTGTATTAACAAAGCTTCAAATGATCACCATTGTTATTCTGCTTTCTATGGCAACTGACACTGTGCTAAGGCATTTTCCTACCCAGAGGGATGGCAATCACTGATAATGTCAGGACAGACAGACCAGCAGGTGAGCTCTGACATTAGCATACACATTGCCTCATCCTGCTACATCACCACAGTGTATTTCAGAAATAACTGGAGCACACAGATGGAAAGAGCCTTTACAGATAAGCTCAGCAGTCCCACTGTGGATAAAGGAGCTTGTGCAGAGCTAACASATGCAGAGACAGTGTGGACACAGTGGCAAAAGGCAGTCTAGTGGAGTGGAAAAGTAAAAAAAAAAACCTTGTTTTCCAAAACTGAGACACAGATACACACACATCCTCAAACTGGGAGACAAAAAACCTGAATGTAATGGATATTTGGTAAGAGGTACCACATTCAGTAAGCAAATCAGCTGGCAGGGAAGATTACTTATGATAACTACAACTGCTAAAACCCAGAACTGGTTAAACTACCCTGATGTCACTGAACACACCCTGTAAAGACAACACATGCTGCACAGCTGACTTGCAAGTGGCCTGAAAAATGAATTCCAAATAATAAGTAGGTCACTTAAGCACTGCCTGGTCACTGTTTAGAGATGGACTGCACAAAAATCTGATTTTTATTCTGATAAGGAGATGTGGGACGAAGGTCAGAATCTGGTTATACAATCTTAGTTCCAGAGCAACGTCACAAGGGTCACTGAGCTCCAATGATGTTATAGAAGTAGCCAAAAACAAAGCCTGGGCTGAGAATAAAAATGTGTAAAGCCAGGCTCAAAASAACAGGGTTGAAATTTGAGCCCCTAACTGTAATTTGAAGAATGGAAGGAAGGAAACATCACATCAGAAAGCTTACTGAGATTTTGAAACAAAGATTTTATCTTTTGGACCAACCTGTGAATACATGTAGATTCTTTAAAAAGACTTGGGTTCCAACTCAARTAAATAACATCATAGTACTGGCACAGGTCCTCCCAGGAAATCCAGAAAATGCCTGAAAAGGAAATGCTGTTATTATTTTCTTACCAGATACCTTGATTTTACTTGGTTTTCAAAAGCCTCTTTCTGGGCAAATGATACCACTTATATAAGCYAACACTTCTGCAAAATGTAGCAGTAATGTCTGTATTGCCTAAATGCTAAATTAAACTTCTGCCCCAAACCAAGTTAAAGTAAGAAAAAACAAGTTGGTCTCTGCTAATTATCAGGGACTTTCTGAAGCTGTCAGAATGCTTTTTGTTCTCAAGCACTAAGCAGAAGGTATGAGAAAATCTGCTATTTGAGACATCATTAGGTGATTCTGATCTGATTTCCCCTTTCCTASGTTTCTAAAAACAAAAATATAAAATACACAGTCAAGCAATTCCTGCAATTCAACAACTTACTTCAGCACCATTCAATCAACATGTATGTCYGAATGTATTTCTAATATATTTCATCCAACACTTATGTCACTTGTTTTTGCACCCTGAGTTTGCTTCATCTTTACAACATTCTCATGCATTTATTCTAATTCTCCATAGCTCCCTAAATTGCAACTCCATCCAAAAATAGTGCCTGCAAACCAACAGAGTTGTAGGGGAATTAACTTTTAAAATGGTAGCAGCTTGTAAATCATGTCTCTGACATAGGCAGTTGCACATCTTACAACATTAAAAAACAGTAATAATAACTACACAAAACCAAGAAGACCAAAGTGTAACTCCAGTTAGAAAGATTAACTCCATTAAAAATGCTAATGCAATTTTATATAAAATTTTAACAACTAGATTGCTTACTAAATGAATTGGTAAACAAATAAATAGCTACTCTAACTGTCACAAATCCAGGGCTGCTATTTTATGTTTGAATCAAAAGTTTTCATTTGCACAGGGCTTACCAATAAATGCTATAATCTAATAGATTTGGAGGCATAGTGTTATAAAAACAGTGGCACTGAAAAAAGGGCTCCCTCAGAGCAACTAGGACACAGTAAAAAGCAGAAATATCTTTCTGAAAGTAAAACACAGCTGCTGCAGCAGGAATACTGAGTTAAATATTGATTACAGTAAGCATGTTGACACATATCTGAGAATGTTGGAGAGGAAAAAAAAACCACAAAAAGTCCATTCATGTATTAAAAAGCAGAATTACACAGCATATTGTCAGAATGTTCTCTTTGCACTGAACTCCCAAATACCCAYATAATGAGATAGCCCACTTAACCAATGAGGTACTTTCTTGTCAATGAATTTGAGATACATTTAACAGCCCAGATTACTAAAACCCCAGACAAACCTGAAATGACATTTAAATACACAGATACTTCCTAAACTTTTGGACTACTTAGTTTCTAGTATTTATTTGTCTCCTTAAGCTTAAGCATTCTTTTTCACCTTCCTGCAGAGATACACCACAAAGATCCATATACTGCTTGAAAAGATTGAGATTTTTTAAGCCTTATTACCATTGTCTATTTTCTGAGCTGTTCTGGGATCAAAGTTCAARTATTTTTGTAAATCTGGGGTCCAGTTTCTTGTGTCATTTTCACTGTATCGTCCCTTCCAACGTAAGTGGCTCCAAGGATTTTTTAGCTGAAGAAATCGAAGTCCCTAAAAAAAACATAAAGTAAAATAGTCAATTCATCTTGTAAAGATAATTTTTGCATATTGAAGGAATTTTTATAACAGATCAAGAAACCACARCATCATTATGTTTTCTGAAATTTCCCAGTGGAGTCCAGGACAAAATAAACTGTATTAGCCATTAGAGAAAAAAAATGAGTAGTTACCCATCTAGGGTAAAACTAGAAGCACATTGTAWGTTTCAAGCAGGCATTTGAAAACACCTTCAGTTTCACTTGGTACCTTATATTCTCTAATATCCAAGACTGCATATGCATGGGTTGGAACTAAACCCCACTTTTCTCCTTCCTCTTCAGACATCACCCCTGTTGCTGTTGTGATAAGGACATCTCCTTTGTGAAATCTGTTCAAAAAAAGGGGAAATGATAGCTTAATTAAATCTCTCAAGATGCAATCTAACATTTGCCAGACACTGCAATAGCATGTTTTTACACTGTCCATTAGCACAACGCTGCTTTATAAAAACTGGGATACAAGTTCTTGTTGTCAGCAGAAATCACTCCTGAAATAAACTTGAGAAAGTGGAACTATTTTTCTTTCAGAATTAAGTATTGGCTTTAAATTAAAAAGTATTATTTTAATATAAGTTTATATTTTCATAAACAAAATCCGGCATTTATCAACCTGAAGCTCAGCCTGTRTCACTTTTAAAGATACTCTTCACAGATCTTCAGCTGAGCAAAAATTTGATTTCATCAACACCTAGCCAATCACTGCACATAGCAAATTRTCAAGTCTGTCACACCCTCAGGATTTGGAAGAACGAGAATTTCATGCTTCTCTACTTTCGCAGGTGTTTATATTCAAGTTTAGTATTCTGAATAGCAATAGAAAATTTTGGAATAATTATTGTTCTGAAAACACACTAACATGTTTCCAGCCCATGCTAAAAATCCAAGTACATCTTGAGTGTCCCTGGACAGTTTAAAGGGTCACTGGACTATGAATCWACACATTTTTAGTCCAGCACAGGTGAACAACAGTGACTCTGCAATGGCTAGATCCAACCCTAACTGCAGTCACACCTCCAAATCACAACACCAGAGTATCTGAAAAATTGTTGACAGCTCTGAGAGCTCCTAAGCAACTGAAAAAAAATACTGAAGGAAGAGTCATGCTGTTTTATCATGGATGGAGATGCTTCAGTCAACTGAATAACCCCCTGCTACTGCATTGAAATACATAAGACACTAGCTGCACAAAACCATTTTGGAAGAAATAAAAATACTTGGTATACCTGGCATTTATAAATTACAGCTGTATCTTTCACCATAAGCAARATAATAGAATAATTTACTTTAAACCCTTAAAGACCATCAAATCCAACTGTTACAGTTGGTCTGAAGACCAGTATAGCAGTTTTTATAGATTTGTGCTGCTCCTCCAAGAGATTTACTGATGGGGCATAATCTTGCCCCTATGATAATCTAATCTTCATAATTAGAAATACTGAATTATTTCTGCTTGCTAAGGGCAGCAGATAAAATATAGTTCTGGGGAACTGTGGAAATACAGAATATATTTCCTTCTACTTTTTTCAACACTTAACTTGTATATTGGCTCCAAACTGCTTCTTCTCTGGCTCCATATTCTATTTTCTTCATCAAGAAAAGGTTTACTATTTTTTTATTCATATGCAAAGAATACTCTCAAACAAAATTCCCTAGTATTTTAATCTTTACTCTATCAAAGCCACCAATGCCTCAATTTTCCTTCTTCCAGAAAGCACATGGAGGTTTTATAAAGCACAATTTGTGGCAACACCAAAATGCTGTCAAAGTATCTGTGGTGACTGTACTGCTTTTACAGTGGTATSACAGCTACTACACAGCAAGCATTTCAATTACTTAGGAAAGAACAACATCTACCTCTGATAAAGCATTCTGAAAGTGCTATCTTTATTGAAGGCTTGATTGTCAGAGTGCATAGCAATTCTTTCAGGTATCCAACCAGTCAGTGCATGGAGATCAATATTCTGAAATGCAAGTATTTAAAAGAAATCAGAATAGATAATCCATATATAAACATACCATGTCTGTACACAACTTATAAAACATCTTGAAAGAAATCAAGTATACATAAGTTACAATACAGCTCTATGCATAAAAGGGTCAAGATCAAGACTAACAAACAAAGACTTCTTTGAATAAAAAAAAAAAAAATTTCCAAAAAAAAAAAAAAAAAAAAAAAAAAAAAAAAAAAAAAAAAAAAAAAAAAAAGGCCGGAAAGTGAACTAATTAAATAAACTGGAATTCCAGAGCAATGGAAGTATATTAGAATCATCAGTTATGCTCCATTGTGTGATGTGTTCTATTTATTTCATTGATTTACAGACTTTTAAAGCACATTTCAGAAGCACTATTTGGAACCTTGCTATTATATATGCATGTTAAATAATTTATGCTTCATTCCTAAAGCTCAGGGTTTGTGGTTTTTATTCCTTTTGGTAAAGCTGACACTGGCATGTATTTCCATAAAAAGCTGCTTTAATCTCCCAACTCCTCAAAATATTGCTTATTTCCTATTCTTTTGCTTTTTACTCCTCAAAGCAAAAGCAGAGACTGTAAATGCTTGAAGTGTCAATAACCAGCACTGGGGGGTGGGAACTTGAGGAATTACAAGCACGAGAGAGCCTGATTGTAAGTAACCCCGATTACAGAAGAAAGCTGGAATACAGTGGAAAGTGAAGGGGGCAGGAGGGGTGGAGATTAAATGTCACCAGTCAAGCTGTTTTTCCAGATAGCAAGTTAGAAAATGACAATGGGAGTAAAACACAGTTATTCTCACCAACTTCTGTCCTTCAAAACAAAGCAGCCTGATGCTGATGCAAATAAAAATGTGTGCTACACTTCCCCCTTACACAAAGTCACATTTGTCTCCATAATAATTTTTAAGAGGTGACRATTACCAGGTATACCCACCAAGAATGTGATTGTCAAGACACCAATTAGCACCATGAAATGAAAAAAAAAACCCTTTAAAATTCTAATAGTTTAAGGTTAATATCAGAAAGACTTCTCAAGCAACAAATTATGTGGGCTACTCATTTCAGCAAACTACCTCTCTTTAAAGAATAACTTGCATGCCAGTTTAGCTACAGTATGATGACTGCTTCTTTAGTAACCACATTATAGACACCCAATGCATATTTATGTAGATGAGTGGAACAATCTGATAAACAAACTTGCACAGATCAAAGTACTTCCTCCACATAGACCTTCTAAAGCCTAGACAGTTCCATTCCCACCTGACTCCATTACCTACTGAGGGAGATATGCCAAATTTATTGAAAGAATTAGAAACTAAAATCAGCAGTATTGATACGGGCAAAGAGAATTTATGACTTTATCCAACATCTTCATCAAGACTATATAAATACTTCCCACTCACAAGCGTCAATACACAAGTCTGAGAACTAAGATTAACTCCGATCATCAAGATGTCTTGCTCATCCTATATTAATGAAATAATTCCATTAAGCACGGCTAAGAATATTTGTGAAAGAAAGAAACAGAAAAAAATTTAAGAAAACCAAGTATTTGTCTGTCCAAGCTGTTCACTAAGGAAATTATTTTACCAATTGTTATCCAAGTAGAATTTTTTTCTCTTACAAATAATCTCATACTTACAGAATTTGATCCAGGAAAATCATATCCTCCCATGACCTTCATGTAAGCCTTTTCTATTAGTGACACCCATAATTCATTCTTGTTATTGGAATAAGAGCAGAGAAGTTCGCCACTATGATCGACAGGTAACTGATCATCTATGATTACCTGTGTGAAATGAATGAAAAATCATCATAAAGGTAATATAGTATTTTGAAAGTAATTAGAAAATAAAAGAAACCCCTCATTGCCCATGTGAACAAGAAATTCTGTTGGCAGTTCTTACTTGCACTGGACTAACTGGGTGACATGAGAGCAGCTGCCTCTACAGATGGTGACAGTACACTCCTATAAAGTGTGTAATACCTAATGCAAAAGGCACTTGCAGAAGGGTTCTGTGAAATTACATGTACAAAAAGTAAGGAAAAGCCTAACAATATTCCTCATCTAATTAGGAATCAGAGCATGGACAATGCTTGGTAGCTAGCAGAGAAATGAATATTTATTTGTCTGCAAGGAAACAAATTGTGTCATATCACTTTCATAGCCTCCAGTTCCAGATTTAAGTTTCTTCTCTCTGAAAAGGAAAAACAACTCAGAGCAGCAGCTGTGACAGTATTAACATTTCTTCTTKAAATTAGGTAGTATATATTAATCATTATTACAGATTGTTATTGCATATTTGCTGTAAGTATTTGATCTGAAGCAGTTTCCCTGAATAGATATTTCAGTTTCCTGTTGGCACCAGTTCATTACCAATACAGACTACCAACACAGCACATTTYCTGGTCAAATCCTGTCCGTGCAGGAATGAATAGACCTTTTCATAGGAGAGCAAATGGCCATTCATCCTAACAAAAGRCAGCCATTAGGAGATATTTTGGAAAGAATATTAAGAGCAAGGCRGACACAAAAATTATTACYTTCCTGAAACATTCAGATTCTGRAATTTTGCTGCTYAAGGACACTTCCTGACCCAGAGGTTACATCTTAACAATTAAGAGCCTTTGAGGAGTTTCCCACTATTTCCCCACCCCATGAATATGACCACTCTACTTCTGAACTCTCACAAACATTAATCAGTCACTATGATTGGTGCTACAGTTAAGCATTATATGAAGCAACATATTATTTTATGTTCCTATTTATTGCACTGAAAAGAAAATGAAGTTGTTTGTGAATTTGAAGTTTTACCTTCAGGCATTTCCTCTAACTAACAATCTCGAGTCATCGAGTAAGGCCTTGCTTGAGTTATCAGTCAAGGTATTCCTCTACAGTCATTCCATCTCTAAATTCTTTCTGATAACCCCCTCTGTATTTTTTAATTCTTTCTAAGATAGAGTAGAAAAGTACACATCTAATTCACAAATAGGGGATATATAGTTTTGTTCCTGTTTGGTTTTCACAATTCTGTTAATATAAGGCATTTTTTTAGCATGAATTTAATGTAAGGCTGTTTCTGTGAATGTCTGCAGAAGAAATAYGGAAGTGCAGAGAGAAGTATGGGGYTGCATACTTCAAMACMAAAAATAAATCTCAARAAGATTTAACCATTAAAAACTACTTTCCAAAAACACCTGCCTAAAGCTTTTGCTCTATAAGCACTTGCTCTACAAGCACTTAGTGAAGCAGATCAAGCCTTTAAAAYACATGACTTATACAGTAACAGTACTAATGACTTATACAGTAACCCCCAAAACCATTTACCTTTCTAGGAACACCATTGATATGAAGCTTCACCATGTATTTACCACATGGATTATATTCTGGTTCTCCTTTCTTATTCTGAGGGTAAATTATACTATTAACAGAAAAAAAAAAATCAAATTATGACATAAATGACTTGGCTGTATGTACACTTATAACACTAAAAGTGATATTAACATAGTCTGCTTCTGGAATTTACACTGAACAGAAATATGGAATATTTAATGAAGAAGAACTCAAATTTAGTAAAAATAATCATATTTAAATAGGTTTTATTTTTCAGGCCCTGCTCTTGCTGSAGCTTTCTACTGAATAGAGCAGCAAAAGTACATAAAAAACCTAATTATTTCTCAAACAAAATTAAGGCAAACAAATTTATCTAACTAGTAAATAAACAGTATTTACATCTCTATAATATAAATACAGTATTTGCCTGAATGACAAGTCAAACTTTTGAAGGCAAAGGCAGTGCAGAACTCATTGCTCTTGAAAAGAATACAAATTCAGTTCTAACAAGAAAAGATTAAAACAAAACAATCCAAGAACATTCAYACACTGGTCTGGCAAGAGCCTCCCAACAAAGTCCAGAAAATCCATGGCAAATTTATCATAGGATGCTAGGTTAGTGGAGCTGAGCTAGAGTTTGTTAACATTAATTCTACA